AATCACATGCAGAAAAATGTAACATGATGTCACAAAACCTAGTAAATCATGGATCTACATAATTTGTTTCAAACCCAGCAGCCACCCCAGGAACAGAACTGGATGCACTTGGAGGAAGGACACCCTACTACTGCAGATAGGTAAGTTAATGAGATGTCTTGTAGGCAGTTAAGACAGTGCCACCCTCAAGGAGCCAACACGGAGGACAATAAAGACACATTCACTGAAGGCCAGAATTGTAAAAGGAGAGAAACTACTATACCTTTCTGCTTTACCTGGGGATAAACAGCAGTGATCGGTATTCTAAATAGGTTTCAATCACCTGGGTGGGGGGCCAAGGTCTTAATCCAGTCTTTCCAGGAAATACTACCTGATGCCGACCACCCTTACTGGAAATCCTTGTGTGCTTGCTATGTGACTTGTTTCCCCATTTGACCCCCACTTAATCAGTATTACTGGGGTGACTGTACTTGTAATCTTACGGGTCAGTCATGGTTTTGCCCCACCTCATGCCCACCTTATAATTTTCCATGGGGTCCTACAGTGGGGTAGCACTTTGTACCTGCCTCACCACATGGCTTTGCTGTATAAAACATCTTTGAAAAAAAAAAGTGGGGTGGATGGGCAACCCACTTTCCGATCCCCCTTCTGTTTCTCTTAGAAAGAAGCTTTCTTTCCCTCAATAAATTTTTCCTACTCTTAACCTCCAATTGTTCCTAGAATTCATTCTTCAATTTTAGAGAACATGAACTTGCGTTTCAGTTATCTAGTAGGTTTGGGAGTTACATCTCTTCCCCCTATATCACTACCACCTTTGGAAGTGATCTTTTTTTTTTTTTTTAAAGGGAAGGGGCATGAAACTAAGTTTGATTGCCAGTTTACAGGACAAAAAGAGAATACAGGAACGGGCCAGGGACTTAGCTCTGGGGTACCACACCTGACTTGCAACTGCAAGGTCCTAAGTTCGATCCCCAGTACCAAAAATTTTTAAAAAAGAGAATAAAGGATTGTTTTAAATCCTGTCCCAAGAGTAACCAACAAAATCTACATTGTTGGAAAATAATGAGATAAATTCAGGCTTTTTCAACAGATAAATTAAAAAATAGACTCCACACCACATTTCAGAAACCTGAACAAGACTTTTTTTTTTTTGGTTTTTTTTTTTTTTGTTTTTTTTAAAAAAGCAAAACTAGGGCCAGAGATTTAGCTCAGTGGCTCCACCACCTGCCTGGCAAGTGCAAGGTCCTGAGTTCAATCCCCAGCAACCATAAATAAAAAATAAAAAGCAAAAACTTTTTTTTAAAAAAAGCAAAACAACTGTAATCTTTACAGATATCCTGTTTATTATAAAAGCGTCTTTGTAAACAGCCCAACAGTGGTAGCTGGGAGTCGTGTTTGGGAGAGAGCACTGCATTACATAAACCAATGTTCCAAATCCTTCTTATGCCTGTTTAGCAAGCGCAGACCTTAAATACAGACTGAAAGACAGAAGTTTAGTGAAATGTCTTACCACTTTTAATTACATTCAAAGCTCTTACAAAATGCTTTTTTAAGCAATGACAATATGCAAAGTTTGCAAACAGAGCAGAGCTTGTGTGCAGTGCTTTGTGAGCACTTGCTCAAAATAACTGCTTGTGTCACTGCAAAATTGCTGAATTGAATTCCATGCTCCAGAAGAAAAGCAAGCAAAGAAAGCTAGGTATACAAAGACCTTAGTAATACATAAAGTACAGGAAAAATTAAGTAGTAAAACGGAAGGAGTTTACACATGTCAGCATGTTTGCTTAAGTGCTCTGCCCACATGCCAGAAATTTACTAGAAATTAGAAATAGGAGGGCCGGGGATTTAGCTCAGTGGTTCCTCAGTGTGCCTGCCTCGCAAGCACAAGGACCGGAGTTCAAGCCCCAATACCAAAAAAAAAAAAAATTAGAAATGGGAGAACATCTTCCAAAGTCAACTGTATTTGCTCCAGAAGTCACATATTCTGTAAAACTTCCTTGCTTCAGATTTAGCTCTGGGGTACCCTTAAAACTCAGTTCTCTCAGTCAACTCTCCTCCCTCCCCAAAATTCACATCATTAGTCCCACACTTCAGTACATGCTGCAGTGTCCTAACTAACAGTAAAATTTGGTCTAACTGCACAGTAATTTGATGATCCTTTTTACAGCTTATGTTTCTACATAAGTGGCGTCTCTAGAACATCAGATAATGCCAGGGGATAACTATTCCCTCAAGTTTCCCATATTTCTATTTCACTACCTCAATAAATTTTAAACATTTTTGCTAGCCACAACCTTACTCTTCAAACTACTCCTTAAACAGTTGTTTCTTCAGATTTTCCTCTCTGGCCTCTTCTCCATTTGACACTCCTGTGCTGCATTCAAGACTGACCTCTAGGGCTGGGGATTTAGCTCAGTGGTGCCACTGCCTGCCTTGCAAGTGCAAGGTCCTGAGATCAATCCCCGGTACAGAAAGAAAAAAGAAAAAAAAAAAAACCTCTTAATACCCTATGTTTGCAAAATTCTA